AAGTCCAAAATTTTATTTAAATTGTTCAATTCATTTTTGAAGATAACAATGATTAAAATATAGTTCGGTTTTTATGTCGACTTGAACTTGTTGTATTATGTATTTACTTTAATACGAGAGTTCAATTAACTATTTAATTAATGGGAAATTAAATATGTTTTTAAAAATATTTGCTTTTTTTATAATTTAAATTGTTATAAAAAGCAGAGTTTATACCCTACACCACACAGTGGTATAGGAAAAAAATAGAGGGAAATAATTCGGTAACTTCTAAACGGTTAATCCGATTTTAATGAAATTTGGTATGCACAAAGAGGAGGTGTTGTCGAGTTTAGGTTTTGAATTTGGACCTTATAGGCCAACCAGGGGCCCGGCGGGGGGTCCTCAAATTAGGACACCTCGGCTATGTTAAATTTTTAAAACGATCCTATTTCTTCATTTGAGTTCCGATTTAAAAAAATTTTCGTATATAGAATCTCCTCATCGAGCACTATAAAAAATGTCGTTTTGAGTAAAAAAGTCTACCTAACTGTAAAATTTCATCAAAAAATATTCATAAATAAAATTTTATTGCAATTTTCAATATATTTTTTTAATATATGTATGTTAAATTTTTAAAACGATCCTATTTCTTCATTTGAGTTCCGATTTAAAAAAAATTTCGTATATAGAATCTCCTCATCGAGCACTATAAAAAATGTCGTAGCAGTAAATTATCTTTGCATACCAAATTTCATTAAAATCGGATTAACCGTTTAGAAGTTACTGAATTATTTCCCTCTTTTTTTTCCTATACCACTGTGCACCAGTTATGAATATTAAATACGATTTATTTTTCATAATAAAGCGTTTATCTTAAATATTATCTTGATTCCGATTTATTTAAGCAATTTATTGACGAAAAACTAATTTTTTAAAAGAGGCTTTACACGTTTGTTTTGATCCAAGGACGATGCCTATTGAAAATGGTTAATATCGGTCCATTATTCCACCCCATACAACAGAACCCCCCGAAAAGGGCTTCTGAGCTCATAATTATGTTAAATATACCTGTATATCGATAAAAAGCGGCACAACTAAGTTTTATATAAGCCTTGATGACCTTGCCAAATTTCATAATGATCGGGCCTCATTTGACCCTAGCTCCCATACAAAGTCCCCTTCAGAAAATTACTTGAATGTCCAAAATTAATTTATAAACACAAATATCGCGATGAAATTCAGAACAAATAAATATTATATAAATATATTCACAAAACTTTTTCCATATTTGCCCCAAGCCCCCATATAAAGCCTCTTTCAGAATATTAATTTTCCATCTATAAATTGCATAAATGTATCGGAACAATGAATTATTATGAAAAATAAATCAAATTTAATATTCATAATTGGTGTAGAGTTTAGGTTTTGAATTTGGACCGTATAGACCAACCAGGGGCCCGGCGGGGGGTCCTCAATTCATTCATTTGAGTTCCGATTTAAAAAAAATTATATAGAATCTCCTCATCGAGCACTATAAAAAATGTCGTCGTAGCAGTAAATTATCTCTTATAGTTTAGGAGACATTCGCATTTGAAAATTAAAATTTTAAAATTTTTACCGTCCTTACTTTAGTTTTTTGATAATAGCGGGTCCAAATATTCCCGATTTTCGCCATTTTTTTTATTCGCTTAACAACAAGTTTATATATCAAGCAGTGAAAGAATTATGTAAAAATCATGACTGAGTCCAAAATTAAAAAAGGCGATTTTTTGTCATTTTTTTGGGAAAAAAGTATCTTTTTCTTTTTAAGTTATCTAAAAAGTTTCTAAGAAGATGTATATAGAATTTATACTTTTTGGAAAGCTGACTTTACATAAAATACGATAAATGAAACAAAACTTAAAAATTTTTGACACCGAGGGGACCAGGTCCATCCAAAAAAAAAACCCTATTTTTTATGGAAAATTCAATTTTGAGCAAAAATTCTCAAATCGCATAGTCGATATCAAATTATAGTGACCTGTTTTATATGACCCAATATGTTCTTAACCATTTTGTAACGGGTTTCGATAACCCCGCCCCTGGTATGGATATAATAGGCAAAAAACGAAAAATCCCATTTTTGGGATTTTTTAAAACTTTTTTGGGAATTCCGGGATTTCTAATAAGAAAATTCGAAATTTTTATTTAATTTTGGATTTTGAGTAAAAAAGTCTACCTAACTGTAAAATTTCATCAAAAAATATTCATAAATAAAATTTTTATTGCAATTTGAAATTTTTTTTAGAGAATTTACCTAGTACTATTATTTTCATCCATAAGGTTAACTCTTAAATTTGTTACATACAGTGGTGGCCATGAGGTTAGCACATTTGGTATCTGTTAAATATAAAATCAAATATTTCCTATAGTTCTTAACTTTTTTAACAAATTCTTTTTTATGCGTAACACATGTCCTTCGAGGATCACGACACATTACATTTTGTTCCACTACTTTGTTGCAGATAGATTTCTTTCTTTCCAAAGTACATCTACCCCAAAAAAAATCTGGACATAAGTTTAGCACAAAATAAAAAATCATTGAAAAATTAAAAATAAAGCAAAGAAACTGGACAATTTTATGTAATTTCACTTAAAATTTTATATTTTGTAGAATAGTTGCATATTTTGATAATATCATTTCTTCTCCTGGACATAATCTTCACCAGAACCCACTAGAAATTTCATGACATAAATTTTAACTTTCAGCCCATAAATAGGCAAAATTCTTAGGAATTTGTGTTTTATTTGTTGCACCATTTCGTTTAATATGTTCCCTATTGGATTGGGATCTAGAAATTATTCTGGGGGCTGCAAACATGTCAATCTCGCTCGCTTCCAAGAAGCTCCTCTCTGTACTTTTAACATATTTTGGGTCATTGTCGACCAAAAAACGCCATTTAACTGAACTTTTGTCCACTAATTTTTTACTAAAATATTTAAGAGTCTATTTTGATAGTCATACTGATCCATTTGTGCATCCACCTTGCGTATAGAACCTCCACTACGCCCGGAAAACGCCTCCGAATTCGTCATATTTCACCCATTGTGTTTTATGGTTTTAAATGTACACTTTGGTTGTTGCTGCATGTTTGGAGTACAGCATAATTACATTTTTCCATCAAATTTGATCCTATTAATCTTCAACTAGTATCCTCCAATCATGCAGATAAAGCTAAAGTGTTCCAGAGAAATCATATATCACAATGGGGGGAAATTTCATGGTATTCATTGCATTTTCTTGGCATGCTGTTGGTCCTATATTGATGTTGGATGCAGAAGTGGATCCGTATGACTATCAAAATAGGATCTTAAATACTTTATTAAAAAAATCGGAGGACAAAGATGGCGTTTTTTGGTCGACATCGACCGTAAATATGCTAAAAGTGCTGAGATGAGCTGCTTGGAAGCGACCGGGATTGTCATGTTTGCAGTGCCCAGTATATTTTCTCGATTCCAATTCAATAGAGAACATATAACATAATATGGACCAACAAATAAAAGCAGAAATCACCAACAATTTTGCCAATTTATGGGCTGAAATTTCTAGAGGGTTCTGGTGAAGATTATGTCCAGGAGGAGGAATGATATTATCAAAATCTGCAACTATTCCACAAAATATAAAATCTTAAGTGCAATAAGATAAATATAACCGGTTGTTTTGTTTTATTTTTAATTTTTTAATGATTTTTTAATTTTGTGCTAAACTTATGTCCAGATTTTTTTGGGGGTAGATGTACTTTGGAAAGAAAAAAATCTACATGCAACAAAGTAGTGGAACAAAATGTAATGTGTCGTGATCCTCGAAGGACATGTGTTACGCATAAAAAATATTTTGTTAAAAAAGTTAAGAACTATAGGAAATATTTGATTTTATATTTAACAGATACCAAATGTGCTAACCTCATGGCCACCACTGTATATTAAAAAAAATATATTGAAAATTGCAATAAAATTTTATTTATGAATATTTTTTGATGATGCAAAAATTCTCAAATCGCATAGTCGATATCAAATTATAGTGACCTGTTTTATATGACCCAATATGTTCTTAACCATTTTGTAACGGGTTTCGATAACCCCGCCCCTGGTATGGATATAATAGGCAAAAAACGAAAAATCCCATTTTTGGGATTTTTAAAACTTTTTTGGGAATTCCGGGATTTCTAATAAGAAAATTCGAAATTTTTATTTAATTTTGGATTTTGAGTAAAAAAGTCTACCTAACTGTAAAATTTCATCAAAAAATATTCATAAATAAAATTTTTATTGCAATTTGAAATTTTTTTTTAGAGAATTTACCTAGTACTATTATTTTCATCCATAAGGTTAACTCTTAAATTTGTTACATATATTAAAAAAAATATATTGAAAATTGCAATAAAATTAACCGTTTAGAAAACCGTATAGAAAAAAACTTGAAAACTTATATTTAAGATAATTTGAGTATGCTGAATCCGGGAAAAATAATATTTTTCGAATTTGAGTTTTCCCTAGTAAGTTATAGAAGGTCAAAGTTAAATATCGAATATATTCGACAGTCTCCAAAAAGTACCACCAATATTTTTTATGAATTTTTTTTGTAAAATGTCTTCTTAAACTTCTTTCAATACAATACAATTTAAATCTGCATAGTCCGATCTCCTAAAATACAATTTTTTTGGCCATTAAATTAAGCTGTTTTTTAAACGTTTTTAAAAAGCACTTTTTAAAAAGTAGTCATAAGTGACAATTTCTTAAAATCTGATTTTTAAATACTTTTAAAATACGGAAGATCTTTCAAAATCTCAATTATAAATATAATAAAGTCTTCATTATCATCTAAAAGAAAAAAATTAAAACTAAAGTTAAATATTATACCCAAAAAATGCTTAAAAACAGAGTCTATTGTAATGTCGAATATATTCGACAAAACCACGGAAAGGGTTAAATTACAATCTCTGACAAAAAATGTATATTAAAATTTTACTTATTTCCAGGATTCATATTCCATTAAATAAGAAGAAATCAAAATTCACAACAAGTCTATACTTTGGTTTTTATTGTATGATGTCATTGATTGGAGCTGTTATTCTGGTTATTTTAACCATTCAAAAGGGTCTTCCAGGAATGCCCTCGTACTTTATACAGGGTTATACAGAATGTACGTATGTATATATTAACCCATTCATATAAAATATATTCTTGTATTAAATAACACAGTACAACACAAAAAAATTACAAGGTCCGGCCTATAAATTTTGATAGAGGAGACAAAAACAAAAGACACGTGTATCGTTTTGAAAGTTTATATCTTATATGTTGAAGTTTCCAAACTCTGAAATTCGTGAAATTCTACCCTAAGTTCCTGAATACACCAATATGGAAAATTCAATAAGAAAGTCAGAAATAAGACACAACAGAAGAGAGCTTTGGAGATATTCGCATTTCAAAATTTTCCGATTTTCCTTTATTCACTTAAATACAAATTTATACATTAAACAGTGAAAGAATGGTTTTAAAATCATGACTGAGTCCAAAGATATATGCATTTCAATTTAAAAAATCAAAAAAAGCGATTTTTTTGCTATTTTTTTGTGGGAAAGTACTTTTTTCTTTTCATCTAAAAAATTTCTAAGAAAATTTATATTTTTATACTTTTTGAAAAGCTAACTAAATATTATTTCGGGAAAAAAAAATTCGAAAATTTTGGTACAGAGGGGATTTTATTATAACTGTTTATTATAACTGTGAATTTTCGATAAAAAATATTCATAAAAATAAATTTTATATTCAACAAAAAACTCTTTTTGCCACATTTTTTAAAAAAGTATTTCATGAATTTCCGAATTGCTGAAAAATTTATAAATTTCTGAAAAGTAGACTTAATTTCCAATCATTGATATGTAAAATGTCTACCTTGTCCTTTTCACATGTAAAATTAAGGTGGAGATATTTAACATATCATGGTAAAATTCTTAATAAATGCAAAATTAACCCTGAACTCTCTTTTGTTGTGCCTTATTTCAACTTTCTGGTTGAATTTTCCATATTGGTGTATTCAGCGACTTATAGTAGAATTTCACGGAGAATATTTCTGCGAAACATTTTAAATACCGGTTTTAATAGTGTTTTTGCTCTTTTTTTAAGAAGGACAAAAAAGGTCCATACCCTCAAGGTATGAGTTAGAGGGTTAACATATTCCACAAATACATAAAAGGGAAGGGTCTCATGGTTTCTTATGCCGATTAACAATAAGAATGTGCCAGAGTAGGTAAACTTTAACCCTTGCTCAAATTAAATTCAGATGTAAACTTTCAAAACGCCGATACACATGTATTTTGTTTTCGTCTCTTCTATCAAAATTTATTGGTCGGACCTTGTAATTTTATAAAAATTTGATTTTATTGTTACTGATTATAATTAGTAACAATTTGCATATAGTATTTATTTATATTTTTATCTGCATATCATCATTTAAAAAAACATAACAATCCAACTTATATATATACTCCACAGTTCGCGAGTTAAAATACATATGTATCTTTACTTTAACATTTTAATGAGAACTACTACAAGTCTAATGAAAAAGTAAAATGAAATTCCATCCGGATGACAAAAACGAGAATAAAAGTCGTATGATTTATATTTTTCGTGTTTACGATTGGTATAAAACAATAACAAAGTAAGATGGAAACAGCTGTTTCACTTTTTTTGTATGTATTTACATAAAAATACATCCCAGAACTAATAAAAAAAAAAAAGCATGTCGTTTTTTGAATCATTTCAAAAAATGAAGAGAGCCATACTGTCAAATTTTCCATCCGTATTTTCTCTCAATGTAATATGTAATGAAATATTGCGTTTAGATGATCCTATCCGTTCTCTTCTACACAAAAATTTGACAGATCATATTACTTGTGTGCTCGTGTGAAGGGGGTTTAAACAGCATTTTAGACGCATTTTCATCACAAACACACTAAAAAAATTAATTTTGTAACATTAATATTGTTTTTTTTGCAATTTTTAGCAATCCGGGAATCACAGCGATATTTCATACCACCAGTATCTACCTTGCTTCTATTTAGCTTCATAGTAATGACATCTGCTTTCTTTGGATTTCAAAAATTAAAATCGCAAGGAGTTATTGTAAATTCAAACGACGAGGAAATCAACAGTCCATCATACGATGAAAACATTTTTGAAGAAGTTAAAAAAGAGTTAAATAAATAAAATAATTGTAATTAGAAATAAAAATTAATTTGTTTCTTTTTTCTTTTTCAGCGCAAAATGTATTAGTTTGCTAGGAATAATACTTATATCCACATGGCTGTTGGAAATAGTTACATTCTACTCGCCAGGGCCACAGATTTACCTTATATTAATGGATATGATAAATGGCCTTCAAGGAGTATTCGTGTTGCTTATTTTCCTAGTTATACGAAGGAGACGTACAATAATTTTCAGATGGTGGAACGACAGGGGGTCGCATACTATTGAAAAAATAGAATTAAATTCAATTTAGATGCGTATTTTTCGTATATTCGTTAATTTATATCAACGGTGGCCAGAAAGAGAATGTTTAAAACGCATATGTTGTAGTGTAAAATATAAAAGAGAACGTAAATGAAAATATGTGTGCTTCGCACTGAAAAAAAAAATATATGTTTGTACTTATTTGTGTTACTCATATTATTAGTATTATAAATGAAGGAATGTATGTATGTATGTATGTATGTATGTTTGTATGTATGTATGTATGTATGTATGTATGTATGTATGTATGTATGTATGTATGTATGTATGTATGTATGTATGTATGTATGTATGTATGTATGTATGTATGTATGTATGTATGTATGTATGTATGTATGTATGTATGTATGTATGTATGTATGTATGTATGTATGTATGTATGTATGTATGTATGTATGTATGTATGTATGTATGTATGTATGTATGTATGTATGTATGTATGTATGTATATGTATGTATGTATGTATGTATGTATGTATGTATGTATGTATGTATGTATGTATGTATGTATGTATGTATGTATGTATGTATGTATGTATGTATGTATGTATGTATGTATGTATGTATGTATGTATGTATGTATGTATGTATGTATGTATGTATGTATGTATGTATGTATGTATGTATGTATGTATGTATGTATGTATGCATGTATGTATGTATGTATGTATGTATGTATTTATGTATGTATGTATGTATGTATGAAGGTATGAAGGTATTGATAGATATAGTTGCTGTTGTTTGTGTATGCATTGTTAAATGTATCTATTAGGTATTCAAATTATTAAACGTCGATCGTTTAATCGATACAATTTAGGCGATTACTTGCTGGAACAAAAGAAAATACAAATATAATTATAAATAATTATATGTACATATGTCTAATAAATCTTTCATATTTAGTGAATAGTGAAAAATAAAAAATACCAAATACTGAAATATGTCAAGTCTTCTCATCACACTCGTTAATATTTGTAAACATGTGTGAGTTGTTTGAAAATAAAAAAATAAAATAGGTTTTTTTTCACAATAAATAAAAAACTCAACAATTGTTGTGTTTATAGAAATAATCAGATGTAGGGCGGTATCAGTTTACTGACAAACTCCGTATAAAAAAAATTGACAGTAAACGGATTTATTTACCACAAATGTACCTTATAAGTATTCATATCAAATTAGTGTTGTTTACTTTTCGTACTATTTAAGCCGCGCAACTTCGCTTAATCTTACGAAAACTTCAAAAATATAATAATAGTGATCAAGGTATATTTATTTTATATAAAATAAATATACCTTGATAGTGATCTTAATATAATAAATGTATTTTTATGATGATATACATAGAAAAAATATATGTGTAGATCACATATGTTATTTTTGCTTTTTACATCGATGTTTCTTCTGAAGAAATGTATATTATTCTTATATTTTATTGTGCTCTAATTACAGCGATTTTATTTTATTATTTGTTTTAGCATCACTTTTTTATCAGCTGCTTTCACACAAAAATAAAAACATTTACTTTGCTATTTAACTTAATACAATAAATATTTATAATAAATATAATGTTTAATAGCAAATATCCAATTGATTTAAAAGGCTGCAAATTATATAAAACAAGCCAATCCTCCACGCTAAGTACATATATTCAACAATTATTTATTTTACTTTTAACTAAAATAATATTTTTTCTTAGAAACAATGGCAACTGGCCACAGGGATTAAGTTGTGGTTTACAAGTTTTAAAAGGGCCCACACATCGGTTGACCTACGTATCTTTACCGACTTTTTGTCTTCAAATGCCAATTTGCCCATAATATCTTCGGCTCCGATTTGCTCAGGGACAATATGTAGCCTTCGTAATGATGTTATTGACTGACTTCAATAGCTGTAGTAAATCTTCCTTGTAAGTTATGCAAGGAATTGGCCCGATTTGGTTGAAATTTGGCACACATAAAGACACCTGATGGCATTGCAATGTTATGTTCGAAAAATCGAAATTAAATAGTAAAAATTCGGAGTTATGTTAGTATTTTGTTGCAAATTTTAATTGAATTTTTTTAAATACTTCCTGTAGCTCAAATATCTGAAATTTGAAATATGTATATGGATGTAGACATCTGATAACAATATAGTGTAATGTTCGAATTTTAAAAATTTCAAGTTATATCTAAAAAAAATATTTTAAAAATGTGTAGAAAAAATCAATTTTTTTTGAATTTTCTTGGTTTGTGCTAAAACTAAACAAAAACTGAAACAGTTAATAAATTATATAATACTTAAAGCTTGTCCTAAAAGTAAAGTAATTTTTAAAATAAACTTATTTTTAAATATAAACAAAAGTTTGATTTATGTATACATATTATTGATTACGGTAGCTTAAAAAGCCAAATAGGCTTGGCAAACATATTTTAGAATTCTTGCGCTTGCTAAGTATTTTTTTTAATTTTCTTTTAATTGCAATTAGACCATAAAAACAGTTTGATAAGAATACAATATGTTTGAATAATAATCTAAAATCCAATCATATTTCCTAGACTAAACAAAAAAAAACTATGATACTTATCATTGTACATTTGGTACTTTTTCGTTTTCAACAATCAGACATATAGGATTCTGATCTAATGAAAATCAATAAGAGTGAACTTTTTGTTCTTCAACTGGAACTTCCTGAATTTATTATATTATAAACATAGAAACACAAAGCATACTGATTGAATGAAAATCTATAAAAGGGGTCATTCTGGTATTTTTCGTCTTTAACTGTTCCTTTCTAAATTTTCTGAAATATTGAACCTAGAAAAATAAAATTTGGCATTTAGGATCCTGATGGAATGAAAATCTTTGGTCAGTTTTATCGTTCAACTGTACATTTTGAATTTTTTATAATATTGAAACGCAAAAGAAAACACTCAGCATAAAAATTTGATGTTTTGGTTATTAATTTCATTACAGCCAAATAATTACATAATTCTTGCAGGTAATGATATATATAAATACATATTTATATCATTACTAGGAACTAATTATTATTATATTTGAAATAATGAGATTAATAAGTAACACTAATTACATTGTAACCTAGGAAATAACTAATACATATTACAAAATTTTGATAAATTTTTGCTGGGAAGTGCCAAAAAAAAAAAAAATACATATACATACATATTCCATTTAGTTGCTTGACAGCAACAAAGTAGATTGCCGTCGCTTTGTTTCAGAAATTGCAAACATAATTTGTACCTTATATCAACAATGAAAATTCGTGTAAATTTTAAATGAAAAATATTCTTTGTTTTAAATTTTCGAATGCTAGAGTGCAAAATAAAATATGCTAATTCATTTGAGTAAAGTTTACGAAAATATTTCTGTATTCTTTTCTCAATTTTGTGTATGAAAATAAAAAAACAAAACAATACATACAAGAATGAATAAAGCAACAACAAAATATTGTTTTTCATTTACATGAACATGAGTGATAAATGAAAGAATATTTGGTACTCTGGTTTCTATCAACGCGATATATTTGTAGTAAATAAACAAATTGTTTAATAGGGAAACCTACCCTGCAGGAAATGGAACTAGTACCAAACTAGTATTTAACTAGTACCAAAATCACCAGTACTAGTTCCCAACTGTAAACTTTCCTATACCATCATAATGCTCAAATTAACATTGAGTGTGTTTGAAAAATTACTAGTACCATTAGTTCTAGACTTATACTAGTACACTTCGACCCAATTGGGTTCTTTAGAACCAGTTTGATACTAGTTCTAATATTCATAAAAAGTCGCCATAATTGGTGGTTTTGCTCTTTTGAAAGCCTCCTGCACAATTCCAAGTGAAAATTACTACACAACTTGTTTTTTATAAGGTTTTATTTCTATAGATGCAATAACAAATGTTGTAAATACATATACCTAACAATTCAATATGAAAGTTTGAAGAAATTCTGGTTCTATCCGTATCACCATCATTGATTTCATTATGTCCAAAAATTCCCTTCAGGTATATATCTCCATTTCGTTATAAAAACATTTGCCGTACGATAAAACAAATATTAAACTTACTGCAGTTTTTAAATTTAATAGACGTACTTACATAGGGATTTGCCTGCAACCGGACCTAAATTTGCATGCACTATTTATCCTCACATTTGAAGGGATATGTATGAAAATATCGTTTTTTATGCAAAATGTTTCAAAATTATATTTTAATAATTTAAAAAAATTATTTTTTCCAACACATGTCAAACAAAAATCAATCTACAAGTGGCGCCATTCAACTACTTCTAGTACTAGTATTTTTCCATATAAACTCTAACCCAATTTGTACTAGTGTCTGTTGTTCTAGTATTAGTACTAGTGGCATTAAGACAATTATCGCTTCATTTCCTGCAGGGTAATAATAAAAATAATTTTTAAGTTTAATTGAAAAATATTAAACAATAAACAGAATATTTTCATTTAAATAAAATAGGTAAGACTCATGGCGTATTTAAATTAACTAGAAGCTAATTTTTGAAATTAATTAAAAGATTTTAGCACAAATTTCAATATACGGATTTCTTAAGGTTTCTACATTACTCAAATCATCCCAAATTCCCACGTTGTTGTCTGTGAAGGCTAAAACGTATTTTATGATCATTTCGTGTCCAGCTCAAACTACATACCGCATGAACATGAATGCCAAGAGTTTGAAAATCCTACACAACAATTCTGACATTGCGGTTGGCTGTAAGGAAACGTGTGACGGTTGTACTGAACTTTGTAGTGCTGGTTAAAACAATTTGACCAATAGTCAGTCCAATGATAGAATGGTCTATAGTCCATTTTAGACTAGACTATAGTCCAGACTATAGAATACACTATAGACCACGCTATTGAATACTCTATAGTTCAGAATATTGACTAGTCTATAGTCCAGATTATAGACTATACTATAGTTCAGATTATAGACTAGACTACGGCCCAGAATATAGAATATACTATAGTCTTGACTATAGTCCGTCTGTCTGTTGAAAGCACGATAGAGTCCGAATGAGAAGAGGTAAGGAGCTGAAATTTTGCATAAATATTTTTTATTGATGCAGTTTGCTTGGTATTAAAAATGGACATACCAAATTTCACATAAAGAAGTTTTATATGAACCTAACATTTTTTATATATTTCTGGTCAGATCTGAATGCATTATTTTTTATTTATACAAAATAATAAATTACACATTTGTCATCAAAAATTTCTTAGAAACCAAAATGTTTTTTATGATTGTGGAAACGCTACATATAATGATTAAGAGAAAAGGAAACTTCAAAAAACCTTATTTAATAAAAAAATTTGATTGGTACTACCTTCTTTATTTTTATCATTTCCTATAAAGTTTTAAATAAAATTAAGTGTTTTCTTTTAAACGATTAAGTTTTGCATTTGTAAATGTGGTCAAGTTTGTTCCATGTGTTTTCTGAAAGGACGGTGCGAAATGAATTTAAAATATAAAATGTAATTTTTTGAACAAATAATTATTAAGGTTTTTCATTTAAACGATTATGTTTACCATTTGTATAAGTGGTCAACTTTATTCGACATGTTTCATGAAACCCCTGTTCAAATCATTCGAAATAATAGTACAATGTTTTTATTGCATTAATTCTCTTATATTATTACATTTTAAATTGTAGATTGCATTTATAAAAGCATGATATATATTTTTCATGTATTCTATATTTGTTAAAATGAAAAATTCTTTATTTTTTTCGATTTTCATAAATTTGTTAACTACTAAAAAATGCTACTCTGCACCTTTAATTTGAAATTGGAAAAACAAAAAATTAAATGTCAAAAAATTTTTTGGTTTGTGAAAATTAAAAAGATTTTGATAAAGAAAATATTTTAAAATAATTTAAAAAATAAATAATGTGTGTCTGTATTATAATTTTGGAGTTTAAATATTGAATATTTGTGGTTGTAGCTTTGTATTGAATTCACACAGAACATGTAAGTGTAAAGAGAGAAAGCTCTTTTATTCGTGGTAATGCTTGAGTTGGCAATCTATATCATCTATGTTTATCAGCCTAAAGGAGCTTCCACACTATCACACTTTACGTACGTAAAGTCTAATGAAAAAGTAAAATGTAATTGCGTATGATTTATATTTTCAGTGTTTACACGATTAGTATAAAACAATAACAAAGTAATATGGAAACAGCTGTTTCACTTTATTTGTATGTGTTTACATAAAAATACATCCCTGATCTAATGCATCTTGCTTGTTTTTTTTTATCATTTCTCTCAATGTGTGATGGTTTCATTACATATTGCGTTTAAACCAGGGTTTGTCAGTTCATAGCACAATTGACTAACAACACACACATTTTTATTATCTTTTGTTTAAGGTGGTATTAGACGACATGTATTTTACATAATGTCACCTGAAACGCAAATGGCCCTAACTAACCAAAATTTCAAAATCGATTTTATTATTGATACTAATGTATTGCATCAAAATATATACGCCATTGTCAACTATTATAACAAATGATAGGTTCCACTATTAAAAAATTTGTTTATTTACTACAAATAAATCGCGTTGATTGAAACAAACTTTTCAATATAAATAGTTTTTTGCTTCTCCTGTAATATTTAAAAAATGTTAGACAGGGCCGTTTGCGTTTTTGGTGACGATATGTTCTGTCAAAATTGTGATTTTATATACGATTCATAATTTTTGCTATCACACCTGCATATGTTTTTCCGTATGATATAACCTATAAATGTAATCAAAGCTTTATTTTTAATGCGCTAAAATTGTTAAAATTATAAATTAGTTTATTGAAAATTGAAAAATACGTACTTTTTCATGTTCTTTATTCATTTTCTTTAATATATTTATTTAAAAAAAAAATTATTTCAAAACATATTTTCGTGTTTGTCGCCCGTACATTTTACTTTAGTTTACACCAGTGGTGGGCAGACACATACTATCAAGTATTTATTGTGTGTATTAAGCAGCGTATTCAAGTCAACATTGTGTGTATTAAGCAGCGTATTCAAGTCAACATTTAGTATTAGTACACTGTAAAAAGTTGTTCATAAACAAAATAAAATATTTTGCGTGCAAATACACCTTTAATGTGCATAAACATACATTAATAAATTATTTCAATAATTTTTTTCAATAAAGCGTGGAAACTAAATATTTTTATAAATAATGAATATTATCTATAAAAATTTATAATTCTCTTTCATTTTTTTTAATGCTTTTTATACTTAAACAATTATATTTCACCATCCATATTTTTTATAAAAAAAACATTTTTCCCAATTAACCTCAAACATTTTGCTATGTGTATTAAAAGAGAACATAACATGCATTAAAAAATTTCGCAACAACAAAACAACAAACAAGTTTTCATTTCACTTAAACACAGACACGCCAATACACGCAAGCTTATTGTGTACATGTGCCAACGAAGCGTCAGCAGAATTTTCAGCCTACACACGCGAGCATTCGAATCACAATTCTGCTCTTGACTGGTTTACACTTTTCTCTCAGTGCAGTACTCTCTCACACCAATCTTTCATCTTTGGCAATACCGGGTTTAGACCAGCGTTGCGCGTTCATATTGTTCAAATTACGAAGATTTTCGCCAATTCACACTTACACTACCCGATCGTAAACAAAACTCACAGCAAGAGCGCAAAAATACAAAAAATTATCTTCAATTGCAATGTTTCAAAAATTGCAAAAACAATTTC